CAGTGTGAATCTTCTTAAGTCTCAATAATGTAATTCACAACCATTTGTATAGTTTAATATGACAGCAGTAGTCCCACTATTTTAGCAAAATATTTAATGTTTCTCATGTATAGCTGCTGTTACTTGGAAACTTTTAAGTGCCTATTGCGTCATTCTTTAGCAAATTTTCATTTAAGTGTTTAAACATTTACCGTATACACACATGTACAAGTCAGATCCAACTGCAAACTATATAGACCTAGATCTGCAAAATGACATGGCAAAGGTGTCCATCAACAGTTAGGTACTGCATTAAAGTTGTTTTAAGGTTTTGTTCAAGTCAATGTAATGGTGTTGTGCAAAGCACAATGAGCTGGTAAAACACTATTTCTTTTGAATCCCTTAATGAGGCACATTTACTGTTATTATTTCTCAGCCTGATAAAGAAAACAGTGATGTCCTTTTACAACTATATTTCAGTTAAGATTTTTTTCTTCCAAATATGAAAAGAAGATCAATGTATATCCTATATTTTAAATTCAGAAAACCTATGCTGACTACAACCTTTTTGATCTCCTTGACATTCATCTATTGCTGGCTCCGTCATGTCTGGATTCCTTCCCGATCCTAAAAGCCTTCCATGAGGAGATAGCCAACCGACCAAACATCAAGAAATACAGAGAAACTGATGCCTGGAAAAAGGTGCCTGTTAATGACAATGGAAAACAGTAAATCACCAGAAAAGAAATTGAATAATAGAAAAATTAAAAGACACTAGGGTAGATGTGGACAGATCACCAGAAAAGATATCAGACCATAGAAAATTTATTGTAGGGAAGATTTAGACAGACATTCCCCAAGTACTATAAATAACAATATTTAAGCACCATGAAGTTTACAGAACGTTTAACTTCTGTGTATAAGTTATGTAAAATTGTAAGAAATTACCACTGGGTAACAATGGTTTTATGCTATTTATACAAATAATGTGTATGCTTGCCACACAAAACTAACCCTTTTTCAGCACAAGTGAACACCAATGAAATTAAATGTAGTCACTTTACTTTGAAATCACAGATAATTTTTATCACTGTGGGCATTGAGGTATTTTTACATCAGCAAAAAAAATGTACAGGATTTCTCGAAGGTGAATCCAGTTATATTTACTGAAAAATTACCGAATTGTCATTATCATGTTTTGTCCATCGTCTAATTAGTGGAGTACTCAGATGAGTGGAAAAGCTGATTTTTTTTTATTTTATGCTATTTCTTTTATATGTCATGCTGTTTTTGCATTGCAATAATTTTTATAAAATTCACTTTACAGGAAGATACCATTCAATCAAGTTTTCTCTTAGTTTAAAAGGAAATTTTTAACTTTGTTACCAGTAGTTTATGTGAGGACCTTAATGATAATAAAATATGCTATAAGAGTGATGCATCAGACAACCTTGAGGGTGGAAATGTACTAGATCTATTTACTTCACCTCCGAAAGTAAGACCAAAATAAACTTGTATAACTGTTGATATAAGAGTTCTCTTTTTTGTCTTTCGTGAAGCCTATCAGAGCTCTGTTTGCTGCTGATACCAACGTTTTGCTTTCTTTTACTGAACCAATCCTGATATTCTTGTCCTATTTACAAAATTCATTTCTTTCATTTGTTACATGTTTAGGCTCATAAAAAGTAACAAGAAAGAGTGAAAAGAACAAGCGTTGTAAAATTTAACAAAATAATGTATTTTCCTAGGAAAACAAGGATAAAATAAGAAAAGGATTTACAGTTTACGAATCAAATCCAAAATTAATCAAAGAATTAAAAAAATGTCATATCAATAAAACGTCCTAAGTGAATCACAGTTCGAATCCCAATGAAATTCCAAGATTGGAAGGTGATGTTTTCAATAACGTTCAAAGTGCTGCTATGTCAACAGTGACTTGTTGAGCCACATTAAATAGCATTCCAGTTTGGAATTCCTAATAATTTTCAATAAATGTCTTTCTCAAGAATTCTGTAAGGAGCACGTGTGTGTGTGTGTGTGTGTGGATATATATATATATATATATATATATATATATATATATATATATATATATATATATATATATATATATATATATATATATATCCAGGGAAATGAATTACTAATTCCAAAAAATAAAAACTCAACTCAAACTGGTCACAACAAAACACTGAGCTTCAAAGGTTTAAAGAACAACTGGCTATTTCTTCTAATGAACAGTGTTATACGGTTAAGACGCAAAACAGATTCCGGTATGATGTCACGTGATCACCTTCCAGAACGTCATGGAAACTGTTTCACATGTCTAAAGTCACGTACTACAGTATAGCCTTAGCTAAAATCAACGGCGCTCACTCTGGGAAAAAAAGAAATAAAATAAGTTGTTTACACAGATCTGGTTTACTCGTCCTGAGTCAAGGTCAGTCACAAGATAGAATGTTTCAATCTACTGGTTGTTTAGCAGGTCAAATAGAATTAAATTTAATTTCTTTAAAAAAAATATCAAACCAAGTAAAAAAAGTTATTATTACAACATGTAATGGAATTTTAAAAAATTAAAACTAAGAAACAAAAATTAAATTTTATATACATAACACTCTCCCCCAAAAAAATTATATAATAAAGCTTTCTTTTTACTATATATTAATTACATACAATGTAGTTTTTAAAAACAAAATATGAGAACAACTGTTATGAATTATACAAAGTGTACATTAAAGGATATTTCTATAAACCGGAAAGCTCATCTGCTATTAAATTGTCTTTTCCCTTGATGTGCCTGATGTTAATTATATATTCCTGTAGCAACAAACTCCGTCTTAATAATCTTTGATTTTTTTTCATCTTGTCCATGACAATAATGGGATTGTGATCACTAAGCACAACAACCGGAGAAGGAGCTGAACTAATGTAAACTTCAAAATGGTTTAATGCCAGTATATAGGCCAAAAAATCCTTCTCAATTGTTGAATAATTATTTTGGTGCTCAATTAATTTCTTATAAAAAAAAACACTCTGGACAATCAACAACATTTCTATCTTCTTGAATCAATAGTGCTCCAAACCCAACATCACTTCCATCAACAGACATTTTAAATGATAGACTGAAATTTGGAGCTGTAAGAACTGAAGCACTTTTAAATATGGTATTTAACTTACCAAAAGCCTCCTGATATTTTTTTTTCAATCAATAGAAACTTGTTTTTCTTAATAAATTTCTCAGGGATTCAGCAATTATTGAAAAATGGGAACAAAATTTCCGATAGTATCCAGCCATACTTAAAATTCGCTATAGTTGCTTTTTACTGACATTCACAGGAAATTCAGAAATAGTCTTGACCTTGGCATCTATATGTTAAACTTGTCCATGTCCCACAATATGTCCTAGAAAAGTCATACAAGCATGGCAAAACTCACTTTTGGATAAATTAATTGTCAAACTTGCATTAGTTGATCTGTCAAAGAATTTTCGAATTGTTGCTTGATGTTCTTCCCATGTGTCGTTGTTGATGATAAAGTCCATCTGGAGTCACGATTCCAAAAATTTCCTTTTCCCTTACCCTCTTCTTGTTGCAAATGTAAACGTTTCTGGTCCAGATTTTTCATAATATCTGAATTCTGAATATTTTTCACTCCAAAGTCAATAGAGTCTGATTAAAGTCCTTCACTTAAATCCTCACTGAGTGGGACAGGTACAACTAAATTAATTGTATGATTTACCTGGCTATCTCTCTTAATATACTGGTACTCCTATAATTTATTTAGATCCCAGGAGTATTATTATTATTAGTATAATTAAGTTTGTTGGGAGTAAGCAGTAGAATCTGTCAGAGCATCATGTAATGGCAGATTATGATCTGTTATTTGTTGTTGAACACTACTTCTAAGCAAGAATTTAGTGCTGTTGTAACTAAAACGGGGTGCGTTTTTTTCCCCCTTAAATTACTCTACAGTTTTCTTCATACAATTACTTGTTCGGTCTAATGTTGTTAACATATACTGCATAATACAATAATTGTCGGGTTCTTTATCTTGTACTAGTAAAAATACAATTTTCTATCATATAACTTCATGCTTATACTATATTCTGGGGGCCAGTACTAAATCAGTACCCATTAAAACTTATTTGCCTCTTCATGACACTCGATCATTAACTTTGAGTCAGTCATATTAAAACAAATATAATCAACACTGTATTTATCAGGGAAAACATGTTCATCAAAAATAATCTATTATAATTGGTCATAATCATGAAAACTAAAAAACTAAACTGAATATACATTTACAATGATAAGTATTTTGTTTTGTCTGTACAGAACTTTTAGGTGCAAACTAAAACTAAAACTTTGCAGAGTTGTGTGTGTGTGCGTGCGCGCGCGCGTAAATTTCAGCTACCTATGCTTTTAAGTAATCAACGTAAACCCACCACCACCAAAGAAATGTTTTTTACAAGGTCTTGAAATGTTAAGGATATTTTCTTATAGTTGACACCGAGTCATACAACTGATACTATCTCACCAAAATAGGTCACTGCATACGGCAGGCATTCTTGTTTCATCAACAGTTCTCAGTGATATATGCTTTATCATGCAAACTGAGGAAGAGAGAGTTTTGCAACGCAATCATGGCCATAATATTCTTATGAGGGTCCTGAATCCGTTACTTCAGTATGTAATGGATGGACTACTTTATCGAATACTGCATGGCTCAGATAAAACACGCACCTAATTGTCGGCTTGTATCCGCTATTCATCATCTCACCCATCCCTACATTTCATCCCTGCAGTTCTTATCCCTGGGGTACGAAGTGGTAAAGGATTGCAGTCATTGGCATAACTTCAGTTTTGTCTCCTCCTCCACCTCCTGCAGAAATACCACGTCCACCCCTTTACAAATTTGGGATTTTGAGCCACTTTTCCTGTCTTGCATGTCCATTCCACCCCAACCCCGCATTGATGGGGCTGTGATGGTTGTATTTACGCGCATAATTGTGGTCTTGAGACCTCTCTGGTGGCATAGTGGTTAGAGCATTTGCCTCGAAAGGAGTGGTCACGGGTTCGAGCTCCGTCCAAGTCATACGAAAGCGCTATAAAAATCGAACAGTTCCCTCATTATGCATTCAGCATTAAGAGGTTAGTGTTAGGACTGGTCATCTTGGTGTCAGAATAATGTGACTGTGTGTGACATTATGCTACCTGTCTGCTTTATGATGCACACCCACCCACCCCATGCTAGATATCACCATCGACTGCCACACTGCAAACACCATTGCGATACGACTCAAAACTTGTTCAAGCAACGTGAAAAATGTCAAGCGCGCACGCAGTCTGTCATATATTTACCAACTACTCGTACACGTCACCCTTAATTTTGAATCTAGCGTGACCTTAATTACATGCAGTGGCGTCACTAGGGTTGGTGTCACCCAGTGCGGTAAACTCACGGTGTCACCCCTCCTGATTTCGACCACAGATTTATTATTATTTATTCAGCATTTAAAAAGTCAACAATATCAAAATGACAAGAACAAAAAACAAGTTAATTGAAGGTCAGCGTGCACAAGTATTAAAGAACTGTAACAACGTTAAGTTATAGATATTAATACATTCTTTAAAACGTCTGCTCTGTAAAATTTGCAATTTTTCATTTGGTGTCACCCCTTTGAGATGGTGTCACCCGGTGCAGTCCGCACCCCCCCCCCCGCGCTACGCCACTGATTACAAGGACGAATTACACGATAATACATAAGTAGTCGCAAGCGCAGACATACGTAATAAAGGGGTGCTGGTGGCCGAGTGGTTTAGGCACTCGCCTTTTCAGATCGTTCATATCTCACAGCAGTCCACATGGGTTCGAAGGTCGGCTCGACCATCTCGTGGGTATATGACAACACTAGCCAGTAACTTCCCGTGGATCGGTGGGTTCTTCTTTCACCAAATATACTGGCCTACAATGTGCTTAAAAATAGCGATAAAACCACAAATGTAGAAAAGGTACATTGACGGAATTATGTTGCCAAGGTTTTTTTTTAAAACATTTTTTTAATCTCCTTCACTTTCTTTTTCCATCCCAATCCCGTCTTCTTGGGATGGTAAAAGCGGAGCTGAAGTGCCCCTACCTCCGTACAAACTAGCGGAACATTTACAAGAAAAGTTCACTTTACAGTTAGCTTGATTATTAAAATTTAAATTATGCCCTGGAAAAATTTAAATGACAGGAGCCTCACCCATATGACCCACCACCAGGGGGTTCTATCCCACGGACCCTGCCCCCTCAAAGATAACATAGCTGATAATGCATAACGTCTTGATTGCTTCACATACGCATGCTTTCAAGTGTCGCACAATTTGCCCAAGATAACACTACACCGCTAGAAAATAAACAGATTTTCCCCAGCAGAGCCTCTAAACGTTATAACCTTGCTTTCAGTTACAACCAGCTTTAGGCCTAGTATTGGCGTGTACAGGCATAGCTAGCAGAACAAGTAAGTACATTTCTTTCATTCTAAGGAAAACATTACCGTTTTGGCCTTACGTGACTTATTGGTTGGCAGCGGATGCGTCAGTTTTTACTAATAGTTGTGTACTGATTTTGAACGAAATTTCAACCGAACATTGTCGAGCGTGCCAACGGTAATCTCTTATGTTATTTAGCTACGATGTCGTAGCCTCAACTTGTTTTGTCCACAAAGTAGTACTAAGGGTACTAATATTAGTAATACATGTCATTATGCACTTTTTAGCTGGTTTAGTAAGTTTGAAGCATGTGATTGTTAAATAAAAGGAAGAATGACAATTAACGGACTGTTATATGCAAGCTGTTTATGAATGCACTCGTACTTGGATATCCAAACAAGGACATTTCATTATTGATAGAAGATCGGGGATCATTATAAGTTCGACCAACATGTCTGCTTTTTTTTTACCCCTGCCACACCCCGTTTTTGATATTAGGACATTTGTGTTAGTGTGTAGGGTCAGAGTACATTTCCTATCGGAAAGTTGGAATTCGCCGACACCATTTGATGTCCAATGGTGACCGCTTACTAGCCGTCTAGTACCTTGAACGACATTTCATCGAGATATACCTGTATGAAATCGATAGGAGTACGATTAATTTCGCAGAAATTGCGATAAAGTTCTATCATTCGTTATGTCTTTAATACAATATAGACTATATTGAATATATTGTACATGTATGACCGGTAAATTGTCAGCAACGATACGAGCTCCGTGGCCAAAACCACAGGAGAAAGCTGTTTCATCAATAAAGCACGACAACAATAAAGCTGTTTCATCAGTAAAGCATGAGTACTGGTAAAGTGATTTCATGTCAGAAATTTTGTCGTGCTTTATTAATAAAATTGCAGACTCCTGTGAGTCTGAAGGGGTTAACGGCAACCTTTCATTACCATTTTCCCATCCGTTCAGTTTGTGATGCTGCATGCCATTGCTTGCGAGGGGTGGGGGCAGAGGTTGTACATAATGTGAAAACGTCATGTCTCGTAACGCACCCAGTTGCTCAACCCCCTAGTCCTAGAAAGTAAGACTTTCATCCGACCCCATTTATGCCCGTAGATTCGACGTTCACTTGTATTGCTGAAATGGCATAGAAACTTTGCCTTGCGCTGGATATCGTTCAAGTGTTGTTTTCGGTTTAACGCCATTTTTCAGCACATGATTGGCAGTACATAGAAAAAAAAACTAAAGTTGGTAAAGGAAGAACCCGGTAAGAAACAGGCGAGCGCCTTTAAAAAAAAAACAAACTCGGTAACCCCGGGTCCCGGGCGTCACTAGGGTTTGTTGTCACCGAGTGCAGTTACTCGTGGTGTCACACACACCACACACCCCCCATGAACCTTTTTCCTGCACAAACATTTAAACATTTTACAGACAGTCGTGTGCGGTAACTCGTGACGGCCTTCCTGCACAAAAATTCTAATATTTTAGAGGCAGTCATTTTGGTGTCACCAGGTGCAGTCCGCACCGCCTTAGTGACGCCACTGCCCCGATACTCATTGTACATAATACTTAATGGAATCATTTGTTACAAAAAATAATTTTCAGAATGTTGCATCATATTTTATTCATTGTAATATCACTCGTTATTGTCTGTATTAAAACCAAATTAATAATCAGTATCGACCAGTACTTTACTTAAGGAAAACTGTGTTGCAAAATCGAAAATGTAATTTGTATGGAAATTATTGTCTCGACCTAACAATGTATATTTACTTTGTAAGAAAAATACCTTTTAAAAAATGTTTTACCTGCATCGTCCATGAATTTATTATCTTGGTCTATTTTTTTGAGTGTTTATGAATTCTTTTTGCAGGTTTTAGACTAGATGAGTTTTGTATGTTCATCACCGCGCGCGTTACGTGCGACAAATATAATGGTGTTTGACGACGTTAAAATGGCAGGAAAGATCAGGTTATTTGTCGCAGCTGACGCGCTGTGGTATTCGGGTCATGGCCAGGCTATCTTAGTACCACCGTCTAGGTAAATTGATCGGGAGGTTCACAGTGGGAGAAAAGGAGCAGCTGGTCCGTTAAGCGATCAATTGAAAGGATATAGTAGTCGGTTGCGTAATTTGGTTTTGTTTTTTTGAGGGATTGATTGCCATTTTTTTAGCTCATGAAAGGCTAAGCGTATTTAGAATTTCCCCAAAATGACAGAATTGTGATTAAGAAAACAACACAAACCCCGCTAATTCCGTGCAACTATCTAGTTTCGCATATAATGCATGCATCTTCAGGCACAAAATGTTTTGAAAGAAACGGATGACGTCTTTATATCCTAAAATAACAATTTATATTCCAAAATGACACAAACCCATGGACCCAGGCGACTGCCGCGTACTAACGAAATAATTCATACACAATGTATGTATACCTTAGATGACGTTATCAACGACACCTATGATTGCTATTAAGAGGTTATTGTCTTCACTGTCATGGCTATGTCGCCAAGTAAAATTCAAAAGGTGTAAATATGGTCAACATTAAAAAACGTATGGAAGATTAACCCTTTCAAATGAATTAAACTTTAAATACAAGATAAAACAGTAGGTAGAGACATTAAATTCAGTAAAAGATATGTAAAATGAACATATATTGTTAAATCTATGAAATATACAGCAGTGAGAAAGGGCAAAAATAGGGGGTGCTGCTGTTACTTATGTTGATGTTTTGTGTACTAGTTTGTCTGCATGACCTGCTTCAGAAATGTAAAAAGATTTTGTTTGATTGATACAGGACTGTTGTCACTTTGGTCTCTCTGACACCTGCAAATTTTTATTACTGCTAATTACAGAATTTGTTTATACTTTTGATGTTTTTGCAGACATGGGGCAGAAATTATATATATATATATATATATATATATATATATATATATATATATATATATATATATATATATATATATATATATATATAAAGTATTCAAATCATATGGTGAATAACAGCACACCGAATTGATTGAAATAGATGAAATGAACTGACAACAAACAGTACAAATGCAAAACTATTATCTAACTCGCCTGAACAATTTTGACTCTTGATGAGTCTTTTTCAAATGCATATACAAAACATAGACAATACAAACAAATAAAACAAGAAAACATGTTTGCAAAACTCTACTTGGATGTTTCTACACAAATAAAATCTTTAGATGTTTTATGTCTCAACCAACCTATATCAACTTTTTGCTGAAAAATGTTTGTATACACACATAAGGGTATTTCCAAAAGATGGTTGCACCACTGACCAAAAGGATAATTTGCAACTCAACAGAATTCAACAGTACGGTTCATGCCATTGTTTCATCAAACAGATCATGTGCATATTTGTGGGTATGCAATGTGATGTGCATACAAAGTTATAATTTTTGTTTGAGAAAAAAAGACTATAAAATAATTGTCTTCCAAAAGTTATTTAATGAGATCTTTGCCTCTCATATTTTGAATCTATGTCTCTCTGGATTTCTGTAAAATTTTGGAAGTTGAGCACCTTAACTGGTCACAACTTAAAGAAGTCATAGGTAATGTGAGAACACAAGACATAGAAGGCGAGA